GCTTGCTCAGGTTGGTACAATCTGTGTGGTTTTTCTTTTTTGTCTTAAGTCCAGTGTGGCAGCATTCAAAGAGACGTCCTAATTTTTACTACTCAGATTTTCAGATTGTTGCTTAGTCAGGACCATCCCTCAAAATCTCTGATTTGAGAAGACCTTCTGTGAGGAGCTAAGTCAACCCTTGAGAACAATCTTTTCAAATGTTTTGCTGGTACTTCAATATCGAAATAAGAACTGAGTAATTGCAGCCAGTTGTGGCAGAGAACGTCTGTGCTGCTTTTCCCTGCAGTTTAGCTCAGACTTTGAAATGTTAAAGTTTCCACATTTAATCAGGTGATATATCCTGGAGAGGACAACACCACCTCTTCCCCTCCCTCATCCAAATATATTTGACTAAGTAATAGAGATGTATAAGGTCCTTGTTTCACTTTGACTTCTCAGTAACATGCCTTACACAGTAGGATTAGACTTGAGACACCATCTGAGATCACTTAAGGACTATTAAATCCTTTCCAGTCAATGCCTCCTGGTTCCTTGAGGGTTTTCAGCACTTTGTCTATGTGAACTCCATAATCATTGGTCAATGTTAAGCTGGGCCCAGTCTTATTGTGACTATATGAAAGAAGGAATTTACTTCCTGAAGTAAAATTGCAGTGGGATCTTCACAAAGTTACTTTTGACTACTGAAGCTAGTTTGTGTTTCGCTATTGTATATTAACACACAATATACAAAATCCCCTCCAATAAAAACTAACAGGAGACTTCAGAAGCAGCATTACCTTCCAACTATATACACAAGTGAGCTAACAGAATGCACACACAAAAATTAGGCCAATTACATCCCTTTGTGTTTTTCCTTACATTAAGGTGTATCCAGAAAACACTTTACATTTCTCTTATATCTATAAACGTGATTTGTTTTAAATACAAAGTACTATCTCATTTAAGTTGTATTTCCTACAGATGAGTGCATATCTTTCAGTAAAGACACTAATGGATCCAGAGGTCAATGTATTTTGAGGGTATTAAAAACACCTATCATTGTTATAATTAAAAAGCAACAGAGGGTCCTGTGGCACCTTTGAGACTAACAGAAGTATTGGGAGCATAAGCTTTCGTGGGTAAGAACCTCACTTCTTCAGATGGATTATATCATTGTTATAATTAAGTCCTCCTCCACAAACTAAACTATAATTAAATGAAACGTTATGACAAAAGCCAAAGGTGTAACTGAGAATTTGGCTCAAGAACTGTTTCATTAAAGATAAAAGTTAATCTTTAACCCACCTCATCTTAGTTTTAAAATACCAAAATACATATCTGCTGTCTGGAGACTCCTTTATCTGTCATCTGTGGCAATACTTTGACACTTAGGCCCCCATTCAGCAAGGCACTTTTAAAATGTAAGATCTTTAGGTCAGGGTCCATCTCTTTGTTGTATTCAATGATGCCTAGCAGAATGGGGGCCTGGTGCATTACTGGAGGTCCTATGTGCTACTTCAATACAAATAACAAACGTTAAGAGGAATACAAGAAGTCCCACTGATTTGAATGAGGCTACTAATATGTTTAGAATTAAGGATGTACTTAAGTACCATTCTGAATTGGGGCCCTAACTGCCCTCCCCCACCTCAATGTTTGCAAAACTACCAGAAGAGTAGGTAAATTGACAATAAATCGTAACAGCTCTTTCATACAAAAAAGCATTTATTCTGTTATTTATTGGATATACTGTAGACTTCACAAGTTTGCCATGCTAAATCATTATTACACTCATAGTATTAAAGAGATTACACACACTATTTCATATTACTGCTCTCTGTTCACGCTTTTTTTTTTAAATACTTCCTGCCTACCTAACATTGCCAAGGAGACTCATTTCAGCTTGGAACAATTTTTGACAGTCAAGTCATCAGTGTCTGGTGACAGACATTTAGCTTTTAACTACTGAATAGTGGAGCTAGGAAAGAATGGCTAAATCCTGCTCACCTTACTCAGGCAATTAGTCCCCCTCAAAATCAATGGGACTTTTTTGCATGAGTAAGGAAAAACCAGTTACTTACCTTTTGTAACTGTTGTTCTTCAAGACGTGCTGCTCATGTCCATTCCATGTTAGGTGTGCGCGCGCCATCTGCACTGTTGCCGGAGATTTCCCCCTCCCAGTAGAATCTGTAGGACCGGCTCTAGCACCCTCTAGAGGCCCACGCTCATGCGCCGGTATAAAGGGGTGCTGCCAGCCCTGCGCCCCTCCAGTTCCTTCTTGCTGTCAACTCTGACCGTGGGGCAGAAGGGCGGGTCACGGAATGGACATGAGCAACACATCTCAAAGAAACAGTAATGAAAGATGGATAGTTGTTTTTTGAGTGCTTGCTCATGTCCATTCCAGGTTAGGTGACTTGCAAGCAGTGTCCTTGAAGGTGGGCTAGGAATTCACTGGTGCGCCAATTGCAACACAGCTCTCCTGAAACTGGCGTTGAGGCCTGAGGTGTTTTCTCAAGGCTGCCGGTGTACAGAGGCCCAAGGACTGCAACATAGCTCTGGAGTCTTTAAGGCCATGCAGCTTTACATCCGTCTGGTCTGAGAACAGTGAGGACCCTTTTAATGGGAGGTCCTGCTCCAGCTGCTGCACCTCCTGCAACAGCCCCGAAGACTGCAGCCATGAACCGTGCCTCATAGTGACTGCCAATGCCATCAACCTGGCTGCCGAGTCCGCTGCATCTAAGGCAGCTTGGAGGGAGGTTCTGGCCACCATCTTTCCTTCCTCCAAGATGGTTGAGAATTCCTGCCACGTCTTGGGCCAAGGAGTCCTAAACACCAAAATCGTATCGCCCAGCAGCACCTGCTGGTTCGCGATGGGGAGTTGGAGGCTTACAGAATAAACCTGTCTACTGAAAAGGTCTAAGCGCTTTGCCTCTTTATTCTTTGGGGTAGCACTGGCCTGGCCTGGCCCTGCCTATCTCTCTCGTTGGCCATGGCAACCACCAGAGAGCCCGTGAGTGGCTGGGAGTACATGTATTCAAACCGTTTTGCTGGCACGTAATACTTCTTTTCTGTCCTCTTAGAGGTTGGGGGCAGAGATGAGGGAGTCTGCCAAAGCACCTTTACCAGTTTAAGTACCCCCGATGCATAGGCAGCACCATCTTGGCAGGAGTTGTAGACACCAGAATATCAAAAATGGGGTCTGTTGACTCTTTGAGCTCCTCTGCCTTCCAGGTCCAGGTTGGTGGCCATCCTCTTGAGGAGCTCCTGGTGGGCTCAAAGGTCATCAGGAAACATGGAGGGGAAGGGGCCACGTCCTCAGCCTCCCCTGGGGCCCTCTCAACTGTGGCTGCCGCGGGGGTTTTCGTACCATAGTCTGAGTCTGATTCCGGTACCACCTGGGACAGGGTTGTAGCCCATCACTCAGAGGTCACCACACATGTAATGTGTGAAAACTGTCCCAGTACTGCCGGGAACCCCCACAGGTTCCAGTACTGCCACTGGACTGGCCACTGCCCTGGAGGCCAATGGACCGGCACCGACGTTGGCCTGGTGTGCTGGGTGATGGCGCCTCTTCCGCGAGGGCGCTGACTCCCTCTCGGAGTCAGACGAGGATCCCTCGTACAAAGACCAAGGCAGTGCGAGGCCTCAGTACTGGTGAACGACTATGGGGTACTAGTGTCTGGTGCCAGGACTCCTGTGTCCAGCGCTGGACCTCAGATGACCAGTGCCAACTAGCCGGAGACCGGCGTCGGATCTCTGGTGACCAATGCCTGGGGTCAGGCGATCGGCGCCTTTGTTGGGGCAACTGGCGTCTAGGCAATGGCAACTGGAGACAGCCTGCCGGAGACCAGCATCTTGATGCCAGTGACCTGCTGGGAAATTAGATCAGTGATGGGCTGGGGACCACTGTGGGGGGCCCAGCACAGGCTTCCCCCATGATGCAACTGTCTTAGGTGGCTCCCCAATGGCAGGCTGGCGGTCCTTTGGTGTGGGAGGAACCAGTAGGGCCATTAGATCCCTGGCAGCCTGAAAGACTTCCGGCATGGAAGGTTCTTCAGATGTGCCGTGCCTCTGCTAGTCCCAGGCGTATGGGGTAGGTCCCTGGTGGGAATGGGTACCATGGGCAGTGTAGCCTCCACAACCATAAACCCTTAAGTGGATGGCGAGTGGCCTGAAACAGGTCGCATCTCACTCCCCAGGTCTCCTTCGGTCATGGAGGCATGCCCTCTTTTGGCACACTTCTTGTGCCACGTTCCCAGTACCAGAGATGTACATCAGTGCCAAGAAGGTCCCTCTGCTCAATGCAGAGTCCAATCCACTTAGCTCGGAGGCCGGTGTAAGCAGGTCTTCCACAAGCAGGGCTTTCAACCTGATACCCGTGTCTTTTTGAGTGCGGGATCTGAAACTCTGACAGACCCTGCACTTATCTTTCACATGAGACTCCCCCAGGCACTTTTAAACAGCTGGAGTGGGGATCACTCATGGGCATGGGTTTAGTGCATGTAGCACATGGCTTGAAACCTGGGGACTGGGCATGCCCTGTCTTGGGCACAACATCCCTTAAGGGGACTAACAGCTATAATTAACTATTTACAACAATGTAACAACAAACAACAACAAAAACCAAACTAACAAAAACCAAACACCCACTGGTAGAGAGGACTTGCTAAAGCAAGAGAGAAGACTGTTCCAGCAACTGTTACGGGAGTAGGCCAGCGCCGGCCCTTATACCAGTGCATGAGCATGGGCCTCCAGGGGGTGCTAGAATCAGCCCTATGGATACCACTGGGGGAAAAAAAAATCTCCAGCAGCAGTGCACGCAGAGCGCGCACACCTAATATGGAATGGACATGAGCAAGCACTCTAAGAACCAGTATTTTAGACCTTAGTACTTTATCTGCCCTCTTTCATCCTGTAGTTGTAATCCTGGATTCGCCATTTATCAGACCTGTGGCTGGTAACTCATCTAAACAGCAATAAATAAGAGCCAAGTCTCATAAAAAGAAGCAACATCTCTGGTGTAAAAATATTACAAGTTTATTAAAACTGAAGACATTACACATTTTAATAAACTTCCCCAAAAAAACTTTATATTGTACTGTGGCAAGTTTAGAGCACAGATAGCAAGTGACCTTTTAGACAGTGTTATAACATGGGCTGAACTCCTTAAACTGCAACAACAAATCTCAAAAAGTAGAATTAAATATGGGACTTATTTAAAATGAATAATTTGAAATAAATCTCAAGTTCAAAGTAAACAAATGCTTTAAAAATACATACTAAAATATCTAAAAGCTTAAGTCACTAGCAGCACATATGTTTAGATATATATAAATTACATGCAGTATTCCAAACTGCACAAATCAGAAGAGCCAGTCCCTTTCACAAAGCCTACCATTTAAGGCAAAAGAGATCCATGCCTGCATACAGCCCCAATGAAATCAACACAGCTCTGTACTGAGGCATGGGTCTGCCCACACATTTCTCTTTGCAGGATCGGAGGCCCTAGCTATACATTCTAAGCAAAGATATTTGAAAAGCATTTATATGCCAAGACCCAAGTTTAATGTTCTGTATTTCTCCTACATGAATGCAGCTCCCTGCACACTTCAGGAATTAGTGATGTCATCTATTCTTACAAGAAAAACAACGAATCTCAAAAACTCAGGTCTTCGGAAACAAAAAGCTTTCAGACCACTGGTCTGTAAATGAAGGTTATTCATGTATCCTGTTAGCATTTAAGATCTTGCTTTTTTAAATTATTTCAAAGCCTTTTTAAAGATATTAGTTCAAGTTTATAGAGCTTTATGAATTTCTTTAAAGCTTTTTGGTAGGGTGTAATGTACACATCAAAACAAATGAGGTTTAAAAAAAAAAAGAAAAAACTGCCTTTTTCAGGTCTGATCCAATTCCTACTGAACTCAATGGAAAAACTCCCATTACCTTCACTAAAAGTTGCATATGGCACTCAAACAGAAAAACAGTTAATATTCGTATCTTTTAAAGATGACAAGTGCTCCATAAAATTAACCTTCTGGTACCTAGCTGGCAGACAGATTTACTTATACAGCACAAACAACAGCATGTGATTGCTGATGAAGAGCTGAGTGAAAGTGGGCATTTGAAAAAACATGAGCTGGAAAAAACTGTTTAATTGATTAAATACGACTAAGTTACAAAAGTACCTAATTATGTCATAGGCAGAAGGTAAAGGACACACTACTTTGCTTTAGTTCAGTAACTCTGTTGTCAAACTTGAATTTTTTGGTAAGCCAAATAAAGATTCATAAACAATTTAGGGGAAACATTACATATATCAGATCTTTACCTGAATTTGAAACAATGTGATGACGATGTTATTGCTTGCCCAACTGTAATTTTGAAGAATCAGCTTGTGTAACTCATAAGCTCATTCAAATATTATACAACCTTTCAATAAATTTAAACAAAATATTTAGACCTACTGATTAAATAGTTCATAGAGGAGTAAGTTCTATGACCAGTTACTGTACATCTGAAAACCCATCAATCCCTCCTGAAGTATTTTAACTTTGATTTATTCTTTTGGTCTAGATAAAAAGCAGTAAAGCTCTTGATTTGAAGCCCAGTCCTGCCAAACCCCCACGCCCATTAACCTGTGTAGTTTTAAAGGCTTCCATAAAACTACTCAAGGAAGGGGGCCCTTGGTGATTAACGGAAGCCTGCCAAATATTTTTGAGACCCACAGAGCACACAATAAGTCTAGCGAGTCATGGGTTTGCCCACTTACTATATAAAATGGCAGATAACGCTCGCCATTATGAATTCTAGGCCACATATCTTGGATTTGCAATATTTTTCAAAATAAATTAACACATTTAGCTATTGCTGATTTATACATGATTTATTTAAATCTCTTTAGATGACGGGGAAAACTAACACTGGTTATTGAAAGCAATGCTTTTAAATTAACTGATTCAAGTATCTCAATATAACATTTTTCAGGTGAGTCCAAGAACAAAAACTTTTAGCCATAAATGTATCAGAATGAATTTAATAAGGATGTTGTTTAAAAACGTCCATCACCTACTTTAGATCTCCTTTCTCGTTCACTCTACCTAATATTTCAAATAAACAAAAAAGGCACAACCAAACTTAGCAGGGACAATGTGCCTCAATGCCTTGATAAGTACAGCCCACAGTATGGAATACTGGGCAAGTTTTAGCCTTAAAGGTTATAGTCAAGTTATAAATACACATCTTGAAACTGACTTCATGCTGGAATCTATACCCTACTCTTACTTTCAAGAAAACAGATATGCCCATCCATTTAAAAAATACAGTAAAAGAATCGCAAAGATCATATTACTTTGTAATTTCAACCTGTCCACAGGTGGAATACAGTTTACTCAGTAAGATGCAATTATAGTGCTTCTCAGGAGGATCAGTCACATTACCCATTGTAAGCATCTTTCTTTACCAACTGTATAGTTTACAAACTGAAAAATGTTCTATAGCTGTGAACTAAACATTTTTACTCTGCTTCTAAAATTAGCTAACAAACTGTACATTACCACAGCAAAATGTACAAGAAGCAATTCAATAAATATAATGGTCCACCATGCAAGCCATGAGAATGCCCAAACTATATTTTGTTCCACTAACTTGAAGGAGTTTCTATAAACATTTTGGTTTACAGTGTAATTGTAGCCATAGCAGTCCCATGTCTCTATAAACATTTTTGTCATTCTAATTCAGATTTAACACAAAAAACAAAGAATTACACTAAAATGTGTTTGGGAGTCAAAACTTTTGAGACAGTACGTAATTTTTACTATAGCAAAAAAGGTATAGACTCCATTCTCTTCCATGTACAGCATTCTACAGCAGCACGTTTAACACGCATTAATCTGATAATTACAAAAATTTGAGACTATGAACTACTGGATGCAAAATGAAAAGAACACTGGTGAAAGTCATAATATTAGTATTCCTTGGCAAATGAAATCTGAAATTTAAGAAACAAGGGGAAATTTAGACTGCTTAGAAAATAAATAAATATACTAAAATTGTCAGTATTTATGTTTTAAATCTTCAGTTTAAAAAAAAAATAAAAGAGACATGGCGTAGTAAATCCAGATCCATTAATTGCTAATATTTAATTTATTACTTAATTAGAGAAGAAACTGAATAAAAGAACCAGTTAACCAGAAAGCAAACCATGTACTCAAAACATTGTTTATACCAGATATTTGGTAACACTGCAGTAAGCAAGGCCATGAGATGAACAGATTTACGTAATGTTTTCTGACTGTCACGTGGTTAGTGATTTCATACCTGAGATGAAAAATCAAGAGGTAAAAATGCCTGTTATGTTGTATACAGGATTCAGGTAGATAAGAATGAACACTTTTTTTTAAACTGCAAGTTTTAAAAATATATGTAAAATATCACCATTGACATTTTTCCCTTCTAATTACTTTAGCTATTTAAATATGCACTCTCCCATTTATGTGTCAGAACACATTTTGAAAGTACGTTAAAGGTTCCTATTTCCCCACCGCTTTAATAACGCATATGGAATTATGAGAATTGTCTTAGAAGTAACCACTCCCACTTTTCAATCACAATAAGCTTAAGGCACCCATAAAAATCATTCTTCATTGGAGGTTTCAGTTCCACTGAATCTTCCCTTCATAAAAGAGTAACAGATAAAACAGTTGATTTAAACACACGAGATCAGAGTATGCCACATTCTGTATTAGCAAAGCAACAGTTTAGCGGATATGAAGCTCAGAAAAATTAAATAATCTAAACACTTACTATTGATGCCACAGCCCCTTCAGTAGTGTGTCAAGGGAAAATGAAATATTTTGATGAAAGGAAAAATTTATATCAAACTATGCAAAAAGCAGAAGGAGAAAGCAGAACAATAATGTTGGACCTTGTTTAACAGTTGCTGATCAGATGTTTACATGATGCAAGGAAATAAATGACATTCACACACATTATTCCATGATAGATACACTATTTATGCTAATGTTTTGGAAACTAGCAAGTTTAGTGATTCTCTACACCACAGTGATGACTGCAAATACGTGATTCCACAGCAAAGAACACGCTCTTAAAGAATCATGTTGTTTTCATCTTCATGAATGATGGTAAAAATCACTTGCTAGATAATAGAAGTTATATGATTCCATATTTCACAAAACATATCTTTGATTTGCCACTAGCAAACTCGTTTAGCAGACAAAGCGTTAACATTTTTCATCATCACAGAAGCTCACAGGAAGATGTATTGGTTAAACTGGACTTTACTTCAGATTCTGAAGTTTAATTCTTTATTTCCACAGCTTCTTTCTCAACCTTTTCTTTTGCCTTCTCTTTTTCTTCCAGTTTCTCTTCTTTTTGAAGCAGTGCTATAATCTCAGCAACCTGACTTGTTGAGATATCAATGTCTTCTTTGTCAATTAATTCTACCACCTACATGAATATAAAAAAGGAAATTCACAAAAACATTAATTTTCACATAGGTTAAAGTATACTGACACCCTAAATCAGAGGTCTCAAACTCAAATGACCACAAGGGCCGCATGAGGACTAGTGCATTGGCTTGAGGGACACATCACTGACACCCACCCCTTGCTGCCCCTGGCCCCGCCCCCACTCCACCCCTTCCATGAGGCCCCACCCCTGCCCCGCCTCTTCCCTGCCCCCATTCCAACCCCTTCCCCAAAGTCCTCACCCCAACTCTGCCCCCTCAGGGTGCAGGAGTGCGGCAGGCGGCTCAGGGCAGGGCGTGTGCAGGGTGCGGCAGGGGGCTCAGGGCAGGGAGTTGGGGTGTGGGGTGCAGGAGGGGTGAGGCAGGGGGTCAGGGTGCAGGGTGTGGCAGGGGGCTCAGGGCAGGGAGTGCAGGAGGTGTGCAGGGTGTGGCAGGGGGCTCAGGGCAGGGAGTTGGGGTGTGGGGTGCAAGGTGCGGCGGGGGCTCAGGGCAGGGAGTTGGGGTGTGGGGTGCAGGAGGGGGTCGGGGTGCGGCAGGAGGCTCAGGGCAGGGAGTTGGGGTGTGGGGTGCAGGAGGGGGTCGGGGTGCAGCAGGAGGCTCAGGGCAGGGAGTGCAGGAGCTGTGCAGGGTGCCTGCCTGCCTGCCCTGGTCCCGCTCCGCTCCAGGAAGCAGCCGGAGACCCGGGAGGGGGAAACGGCGCCATGTGCTATTGCTGCTCCTCCAGGTACCTCCCCCAAAGCTCCCATTGGCCGCGGTTCCCCGTTCCTGGCCAATGGGAGCTGCGGGGGAGGTGCCTGGAAGCAAGAGCATGGAGTCCTCTACTCCCCCCCCGCCCCCGGCTGCAGGGCCATAGTTCCAGCCGCTTCAGGAAGCGGCGCGGGGTTCGTGGCGCCATGGGGTAGGCAGAGGGGCGGGGGGGCATGCAGGCGTGGAGGCACGGGGAACTTGGTGGGCCACATGAAAGAACCCCGCGGGCTGCGTGTTTGAGACCCCTGCCCTAAATCTAATCTCTCATAGGTCTAAGCAAAATAGAGTTAATATATGGAGATATACCTATGTCATAGAACTGGAAGGGACCCTGAAAGGTCATCGAGTCCAGACTCCTGCCTCCACTAGCAGGACCAAGTACTGATTTTGCCCCAGATCCTTAAGTGGCCCCCTCAAGGATTAAACTCACAATCCTTGAGTGCTCAAACCACTGAGCTATCCCTCCCCCCTGTTATTCTGTTGGTTGCATGGGATCATATACTATAATCCAGTTTTGCAATATTTTTAAAAATTATTAAAATCCAGTGGCTTTTTGATGACTCATGTAAAGTGGCTGAAGATCTAAGCTCAGTTCCTAATGAACTGTCCTCGTCAAGTTCTTTTTGCTATGGACATGCATGCAAACATTAAGGGCCAGATTCACAAAAGCTTGTCCCTCAAGGTGTTTAAGCTACAACTGATTGCCCTTTCTACATTATATAAACCTAGAGCGAATCTGACCCTTTGAGCAGGGGTGTAAAACATCTAGGCTGCTTTGTATAACTATGTGGGTGGGCCACATGACATTCAGATTCTGAATTTTCATTTTTTAAAATATTAGTAGGCCTTCCTGATTGTGAAGAAAGCCTTCCAAACATGAACTGAGTGTAAAACTCATGTAGTGGTGTCTTCCTTATGCTGCAGGCAGCCTAAAAAGATGATTCAGGTTTGAACTCTTCCATCGAGCATTATCTCATTGAGATATTAGCTCAAATTCCAATAATGACAACATTTAAAATCAGCATGAAGTATTTCACTGCTCTTCATTTTAGTGGCTGGAAATGAAGGACACAGGGAGGTGGGAACTGAAAGTTGCTGGAGAAAAGGAAATTAAAATAGAAGAACAGGAGGAAGGGGCAGGAAGAGAAACGGAAGGCAGAAATACTGGTTTCTCTAAAGCTGAGATTTCCTCCCCCCCACACTGAATGATGCTCAATGCAACAAAAAAGTACTAAGCAAATAATACAAAATGTTCATAACTAAGGACCTGATTTACTATTGTGTTATTAGCTCTAAACCAGTGGAATCACACTGGTGTGAACCTGTAATGCAGTGATAAAGCAGACCCGATATTCATTAGTACAAAAAGATCACTTTCTGCACTTGATCTTAGTGAAAAACCTCCAAATGAAAGAAAGTGGGAAATCTGCCATGGACTGAAGATAGTACATAGTCCTAAATTTATACCCTGGCCCACAGACCGAACATTAAATTCAGCTTTTGTCTGCTAAATGAGTTTGACACCTCTGCTTTATGTGGACGTGCTTTTACCAACATTTAAAAACAGGTTGTATCCTACAGGAGTTGAGTGTGGCCACCACTGTAAAAATCAACATTTACCAACAGCTAAAATACAGTTGTCTCAAACTGACTCAAATAATAATGGTGTCTCAAATACTACCATATAGGTCACAAATGTGTTTTAAGACACTTTGATTTTACTCAAGAGGAAGATGTTAAGAGCATTACCAAGTTAAAAAGAATATTAGGTTTTAAAATAAATTACTAATTAAAAGTTTTAATCACCTGAAAGCATGAGGAAAATAATGTGACAATAGCATTTTTAAAAACCCTCACTAGTTTGATTTTTTAAAAAACAACAACAGAAAAATAGCTCATTCCAGGATCTGTAGTTTTTCTTTAGTAGATTTTTTAAAAATAAAATTTGACATAAAAAAAATCAGTATTATCACAGATAAACACTATTAATAAACATACGATCCTAAAGCCCGGGCACACCAAATGCACAGCAAAAAAACAAATTCAATTAAAAAAAAATTAAAAGGGTTTTCAATCTTTTTGAAGACAAAGGAAGAAAGTTAGTTATCCTTGTATAAAATACTATAAAACTCCATAATGGTGATTTTAGTTCAGAGATTTAAGGACAACTTCATCTCTTGTATAACCACTGAAGTCTCTGAAGTTAATAGAATTACATCAGGAAAGGATTCGGCTTTTAGTCTTATTTGACTTGATAAATATAGCTCAATGCAATAACAGCTCAGAGCCGCCGTGAAGGAATTAAAAAAAAAAAATTAAAGGCCTAAAAGAAATGGACTTTTACTAAAGAGGAAAAAATGTGATTCAGGAGGACAAATATTGTATTTTCCAGTCTGCTCCTACTGTATTCACTGTTATTGTAAGTCATCACTTGTGTAAAGCAGAAAAATGACTTTCAAATGAACCAAGCTAAAAGTTTAACATGGGTTTCAGTACATCCCTAGAGCTGCTTCCACGTCACTGAAGTAACAAAAGGAGAACAGCAGGGGAGAGCCAGGAAAACTGTGGGAAGGGAGAAAAAAAAAGAAAATGGAACACGACAGCTAGAAGGAGAGGAAATGGACAGTATTTACAGTGCAACCCAGAATATCTAAAGTGCACTAACCGGGAAGCAGGAATGATGCGCATCTAAAAGAAAGTGTGTGTGTGTGTGTGTGTGTGTGTGTGTGTGTGTGTGTGTGTGTGTGTGTGTGTGTGTGTGTGTGTGTGTGTGTGTGTGTGTGTGTGTGTGTATTATTGGGGTCTCTGCAATTCTGTTGCTACACAACTCCTAAACTCCACAGGATTAAAGCTTCAAAACTGAAGAGATTCTGTAGCTCAACAGCAGAGGAGCTTCAGAAACAAACCGCTCCCTTCTCAGGACGACTGATGGCCTGGTGTGCTCTAGGATTAAGAACGCAGAGCGCAATGAGGCATCTCTCTCAGATGTTGGTATGGTTTAGTATTCTAGATATAGGAGGGAAGAATTTTGGCTAATACCAGTCTTAACTGTTTGTAGCCATTAAAAAACCCACAGCGCTTTTCTTAAGAGAAAGGAACAAATACGCCCCCCCCCATTGCTTCCTCAAATACTAATTTTAAACCGCATTTTCATATGCCAAAGCATTGTGCATAAACTCAGTTAATTTATAAATATCTAGCATAAGGCTTTAATTAAAAAAAAACAAGCTGTCCAGTTGGCTGGATAGTAGGACAGATGGGGAGTTCCACCAAAAGGCATCCCAGATTACATACTCATCTGTGGAGGGGAGGGTAAGAGCTACAGATGTGGTTTTTACTAGGAAAGAGAACCTTTTGGTTTAGGGATGAAGAGGTGAATGTTGGATATGGGGGGAAATCATGAATACATCCCTCAAACTAGTGGTAAAAAGTCTCCATTAATTTAGCAGTGGTAGTATGTATTAAAAACACAAATACAAAAGACTGATCTATCATTCAGATATTCTAAATCAAAATAAAAATTTGGGCAAAGAAAACAATATGAAATTAAGTGAAAATTGTAAAATGTAGCCTAATTCAGCAGTTCTGTAAGTGTGTAATACCTGTTTTATTTTATTAAACTGCTCTGCAGACTCACCTTGGCAACATCATTTATATCAATCTTGCCGTCCTGGTTTTCATCTAATGCCTCAGCAATCCTATTCAGTTTGTTCTCTGGAAACTTCTGGATTTGTTTCATCACACTAATAAGCTCGTTGATACTGATGAGATTCTCCCTAAAGGGGAAACACAATCTGTATACAGCAAACAATTACTACAAAGAAGTAAAGAAGGAAGAGATAAGGATATTAAAGACATGTAATGGTATTTTATATTGAACAAAAGGTTTATAGCCTGATCAAGAACTGAAAACAAAAAAGCAAAAGTGAATTATTTATCAGTTATTAGAGTTCTTTAGATAGGTCTTTATCCTCCAGACACACTCACTCTTATGATTTCCACATGCTGATTTGCACAAATACAAGAAGCCACTGATAACTGAAATATAAATTTGGTCAAGTTTGTGTGCTCCTCAGCACCTAAAGACCTTTGTCCTATTCATTCAGGGGACACTACCCTGCCTCAGTCATCCTGCTGGACTCAAGAGGTTGGTCTACAGAAAATAGAGAGAGGAAAGCAGGCAAGAGAACCCATTTGAACAAACCCTGGGAAGGCAAGAATTGAGGAATACGTTCTTGTAACAGCATACACATACACGCCCTGTTGGATTTAATTTCCTCACACATGGAAGGAACAAACCCTTCTACAAAATGTAAGGACTGAACTCCATACTACTCCTAAGCAAATTTCAGAAACTGTCTCCCTGCTTCTGAAGTGGCAACACGTTGCTTTGATATCTGCCCTTTGTAGGCTAAAGCCTCTGCTTGCCCTCATGAAGTGGTTTACACTAGAGCTGTCAAACAATTAAAAAAATTAATTGCAATTAATCGCGTGATTTAAAAAATTGCACGATTAATCGCACTGTTAAATACCATTTATATAAATATTTTTGGATGTTTTCTACATTTTCAAATATATTGATTTCAATTACACAGACTACAAAGTGTACAGTGCTCACTTTATATTTTATTTTTTGTACTATAAAAACAAAAGAAATAGTATTTTTCAATTCACCCAATACAAGTACTATAGTGCAATCTCTTTATTATGGAAGTTGAACTTACAAATGTAGAACTACGTACAAAAAAATCTGCATTCAAAAATAAAACAATGTTAAACTTTAGAGCCTGAAAGTCCACTCAGTCCTATTTCTTTTTCAGCCAATCGCTCAGACAAACAAATTTGTTTACATTTGCAGGAGACAATGCTGCCCGCTTCTTGTTCACAATGTCATCTGAAAATGAGAACAGGCATTCACATGACACTGTTGTAGCTGGCATTGCAAGGTATTTACATGCCAGATGCACTAAAGATTCATATGTCCCTGTCAGAAATTTAATAAACGTATTTTTTTTTAAACGAGCATCATCTGCATGGAAGCATGTCCTCTGGAATGCTGGCTGAAGCATGAAAGGGCATATGAATGTCTAGCATATCTGCCACACAAATACCTTGCAATGCTGGCTACCAAAGTCCCATGTGAACGCCTGTTCTCACTTTCTGGTGACGTAAATAAGAAGTGGGCAGCATTATCTCCCATAAATGTAAACAAACTTGTTTGTCTTAGCGATTGGCTGAACAAGAAGTAGGACCGAGTGGACTTGTAGGATCTAAAGTTTTGCAGTGTTTTGTTTTTGAATGCAGTTATGTAACAAACAAAACAAAATATCTACATTTGTAAGTTATACTTTCACAATAAAGAGATTTCACTACAGTACTTGTATGAGGTGAATTGAAAAAATACTGTTTCTTTTGTTCCTCATTTTTACAGTGTAAATATTTGTAAGCAAAAATGTGAGCAGTGTACACTTAGTATTCTGTGTTGTAACTGAAATCAATATATTTGAAAATGTAGAAAAACATCCCAAAATATTTAATAAATTTAAATTGGTATTCTATTGTTTAACAGCGCGATTAAAACTGATTAATCAATTTTTTTTTTTAGTTAAATCGCACGAATTAACTGCGATTAATTGACAGTCCTAGTTTACACCTTCCAACCCAGGTCACACAGAGATGTAGATGATGATAAAACCAACAATCCTTTTAAAAAGGGTTTTTTATTAGTATGGTTTTAACACCATATCTGCCTAACCTCAGGTTTTTGGCCACAGATTTTTCAGAAGGGGGAGGATGTTTCTCTGGACTATCATTAAAAATTCCTGGACTTTTGCTGATGCCATAACAATCCTGAGGCTATGGAGGTCATTGCAGTGACCAGACTCAAATGGTAAAAAAGTCACTTGAATTGAAAGGAAGGGAAGGCCACAAACATTTATCATGTATAAAACTTCATCAGTTTTAATTAAGCCACTTTTAAACATGATGCATCTGGCAATCATTACGTGAGGCATAAAACCCAGAAGTAATCAAACATTTCCTTGCAATAACTTGGAAATTCAGCTAAGACAAAACAGAGTATTAACCCAAGATCCAGAAAAAGGGAGACTGACTGTTCCAAAGCCTGACCAACAGTACGGAAAAATATACACTTATCCACTGCATAAATTAAGGCATGAGTAGGGAGTCTCGCTTGGAAGTTTAAAAAGATATACTGGGTTACCGAGCTTACATTAAAACTCAAATACACAGTGGTAATTGCCCATTGTAATAGTCATAAATGATGGTCCCCCATTTACACTTCTACACACAAACAGCATATATACAGTGCTCCAACATTTAACCTAGTAATTCACTTAATTTCCACTGACAAAGGAGCAAGAATCTTGAGGTATTTCTGAACCTGGTACACCTACACGGACAATTCTTGCCTCCTGCCAAGCCTGTTAAGTACTGTCAATACAATTCATGCCAACACATGGAAATTTCTTCCCATCTGAGACAATATTCTCTCCTTTTTATTGATGGCTATCATTCCATTATATCACATCCAGTTTAGAAAGCCTTTCCCCAATGGAGCCAACACTCACTTCTCGTAAACCAACCAGCAAGGGGAATGCTGAAGAGCAACCATTCAAAATATCAGGTTAAGAAAAGATATACAAATATTCCAAGAACATGCAAAAGAATCCGTTACACATAGGGCCCCGATCCAATTCTCACTGAAGTAAATAGTGATCTTCTATCCATTTCAGCTGAAGCTGGATCAAGCCCATAATGGGTAATAATTCCAAGCAATGTGTCTATAATAAAGTCTAGCACCTCAGGGCGGAGGGGGTGGGTGGGGAGCTGCCACAGGGCTCGGGGGGGGGGGGGGGGGGGGGGGAGAGTTTTGCCTAGGGCGCAAAACATCCTTGAACCCACCCTGGATAAAAGCAGCCTTGGAGAGGGTTGGGGCTGAGAGAAAAACCTAGGCTGATTGGAAAAGTAAAGTAGTCTCAGCTGGGGCCATGCCCCAATCAGGCCACAGCTGGCCCTATAAAGGGGCTGCTAGGCTGGAGTTAAGTCAGTCTCTCTCTATTGGTTGAGAGGGATGGGCCTGGCTGCTGGGAGTTGAGCAAGGTACCCAGAGTGGAGCAGGGCTCGGGGAAGGCTAGAGGAGCTGGGGAGCTCCAGCCTGGAAAACCCACAGGCTGCAGGCCTTGCTAAAGGCCGGAAAAGGTACTGGGGTTGTAGAGGGCAGCCCAAGGGTAGGCAAAGGCAGCAGGTCCAAACCCTCCTTGCCGATGATGAGTGGCAATTATACTGTAGTCTGCCCCAGTGAGTGGGGGCTAGATGGTGACTAGCACTAGCCCAAGACTGAGGTGAGGATAGGGGGGTGGGGGTTCCCCAGGGAGGGGAGATCCAGCGAGACTGTGAGAAGGGGCACTGGGGTCCGGGAGGGATGGGGGCCAGCAGCAAGGCAATACACTGGCCTGCAGAGGGCGCTCTGGAGGCTGGCGAGCTAATTCCCTGGACGACTAGCAGGAGGCGCCGGCGGGTGAGTCGTCGCCCTGCTACACTGCATAATAAAACCTTTATGGAATTTGTTTGGAAGTCAGAAAGCGTGCCAAGATAAAATGTCGGTGTATTCTACACAAATGTAACTAAGGGCATGATTTGGCCTGCAGAACCTTTACTACTGGTGTCAAGCACAGGAAGGCAAGGTCCCAAAGAACCCATCCTGACTCTCAAAGCTCAGACTGAATTTGCAGGACTGGGAGTTTGGGGAGAAACCCATCTTTTTTATTTGTATATTACCAGATTTGAGATGGAGATCACTGAGATTGAAGCCCACAATGCAATTTTTGCAGTCACTTCTCAGAATTAAACCGTACATTAAACTTTTGAAACAAAATAACTTCCTTGCTATTATTTTTTTTCCAAACCAACCTAACGCAAGAATTCATGTTTCAGCCTACCACACAGACTGATGGCGGTGAATGAGTGTTTTGAAAAGGAAGTGTGGTGCCATCATTCACTTACCCAATAGGTGGACTAGCACCACTGTCCAACTGTCCATCCACCACCTTTTGGTCTGTCTCTAATTCATTAATAATTTTGCCAATTTGTCCAATCATTCGGTTCACCCTTTTGGTCAACCGCTTGCTTGCTTTAGACTCTTCCACTACATCCTCTTGTCCTGTTTTAGATAGCTCCTTTATCTCTTGCAAATCCTAGAGGAGATGTTCAAGCAAAAAAGCATTCATGAGAAGATAAATTTGCAACAACAAATATAGTAATGTCTAAAAGAAAAGCAGGAGTCCTATGCAAATCAAAAAGGTTGCAGCAGGAGAGGAAGCCGTTATTGCTGTTGTCAGACACATGGGAACAGTGAAATTTAGAGACTAAAAATGAAGGTTAATTTTAGAAATTAAATTAATGTTGTGGCTAGTTCTACATGTCCCTTACATAGTCCTAAATCCTCGACCGTTCCCCTCCTGCCAATTAAAAACCTTTTCATCCATCCTAGGATTTCAACCCCACATCCTTTCAGTGTCGTACAACTGGATCAGGACTTCTTTCAGACAGCATCAACACCACTTTACAGACTGGAGAAATTGTTCCCTATTGATTCTAAGAGGCACTCCATTGCCCTCCCATATACTGCCTCTGCAGCACAGAGAGCATGGAGTAAAGAACAGAGGCCAGATCCTCAGCGGATGTAAACGGTCATAGTTCCATTGACTTCAGCTGAACTTTAACTATTTACACAAGCTGAGGATCTGACGGTCCTGCATGACAACATACCACACAATAACTGAGCAAGTAGGCCTCTCCAACAATTTCCAATTTGGGTTATCTCAGCTCACAAAACAAATTGTAATAGTTTAAGGTTAGTTTTTCTAAGAATATGTATGGACAGAGCTTCTCCACCCCATTCTTTACCTCACTATATTCCTGAACATCATCCTTTAGCTCCTCAAGCTCCTCCTTTTCTTTTGTTAACAATTTCTTCTTTTCCTTCAGTTTGGTGCAAGCATCACTCAGCATGTCAATCTCCTCCTTGGTTATTTCCTCACCCTAAAAAGTGAAATATCCAAATAAGCATAGGACACATTTGTGGTTTCTTCCAGAAAAAAAAAAAAAACTGATTCAGTGTGAGTTTGTATTCTTTTAGGTTTCAGAGCAGGTATAATACATAGACTGATATTTTGAGATTGGTGCATGGATGTTAGGTATATTAGAACTGTCAATCTACTCATTTTTAAAAAGTGAATTCAAGATAGTTTTTGTTACTATAATTGTCCCTTAGCCCCTCTGGCAATTTCTGTGATTTTCACAGCCATATTTCCCTACTGTTTAAGAAGTGTTTCTCTCCTACCTGTTGCTGTGTGAAAGAACACAAACAGAGGAAATGACTGACAAAAGAAACAATGTAACTGAGGCCTGGTCCACACTAACCCCCCAATTCGAACTAAGGTACGCAAATTCAGCTACGTTAATAACGTAGCTGAATTCGACATACCTTAGTTCGAACTTACCGCGGTTCAGAAGCGGTCCACACGCGGCAGGCAGGCTCCCCGTCGACTCCGCGGTACTCCTCTCGCTGAGCTGGAGTACCGCAGTCGACGGCGAGCACTTCCTGGTTCGACTTATCGCGTCTGGTCTGGACGCGATAATTCGAACCCGGAACTTCGATCCCCAGCCGCCGAACTAGTGGCTGGGTGTAAACCAGCCCTGACTGTATGAAAAGTTCTGAAATGCACATATCAATTGCAAAAAAATGTTTCTTCCTCCTACAAGCTCTTTAAAATGTATAGTAATCTTTGGTAATAGGGTAAAATTAGCAGGTATCACATTTCAAGACAGTTGTCTGACTTATAAACTGCTGTCTTTTTAAACACCTAATACTCAAAAGTAAAAAATCCTAATCTTCAACCATCCCAAAATGAGACCACCAGAAGCTAGTCTTGAAAAATGGCTCATCACAAACAAACAGAACTAAGGGTATGTCTACACTACAGGATTAATCCGAATTTAGATAATTCGAATTTGGGAAACAGGTTGTATAAATTCGATTGTGCGCGGCCACACTAAGCACCTTAATTCGGTTTTTAACCACATTAATTCGGTGGTGTGCGGCCACACTACCCCATTAATTTAAACACAGTAATTCGGTGGTGTGCGGCCACACTAACCCTAATTCGAATTAACAAAATCAATTTAGGCTCTACTCCGTTCGTCGAGGTGGAGTACAGAAATCGATTTAAAGGGCCCTTTAATTCGAATTAACTGGCTCTGTAGTGTGGACGGGTGAAGGGTTAATTCGGATTAACGCTGCTAAATCCGAATTAATCCCGTAGTGTAGACCAGGCATTAGTTCTGTTTGTTTGTGATGAGCCATTTTTCAAGACTAGCTTCTGGTGGTCTCATTTTGGGATGGTTGAAGAAAGGCTAGTAATCTCTTTAGCTGGAGCCAGGAAATTAAAATAAAGACAAAGACATAAGCAAACACATCTGCATTAATCCGTAAGAAAAAAAATTGTATAAATACCATTTTAGCCTACAAAAGTAGCACAGACTGCAAAATGCTATGATTATTTGTGACATTTAGCTCTAATTGCCCATCTTATGAAAAAAGCATTTCACCCAGTTGCTTCATGGGAAAGTGCCTGTTCCACTTCATCACCTATCCTTTCCCAATTCACTGATAAATGGGCACTGAACACAGATCATGATGTACTCTTCCAATAATTAAATGATAGCTCTGACCCTTCTTGGTGAATATATTTGCTGAGCAGTGGCATGAGGAATCGACATTTTCTCCTGCAAAAATCTGCAAGAAGATCAGGCTAGAAGCTTTGCTTTTTTGTCAGATCACCATAGCTGCAATTCCCAACTTAACAAGCAGTACTTAAAGAAGAAAAAAAAAGGCAAGCCATCATCCATTAATATATCAAAGTCTCTTTTGCTGGTCCATTTAACACCATATTCCATTTCTGACATGATTCTTTATTAACTGTGTGTGTTTATTTTGGAAAAGTCATGTTTGTACAAGATACTGAAAACTTTCAGTATTCCACAAATCAAGTATGCCAGTGTACATTCACATTGTTTAAGACATCAACCAGTACTGGGTTTTCAATGCTTGTGTAACTGATTTTACACCTCATTAACTGCATGAATCATATCAAAGAGTGTTTCTCTCACTCTCACACACACACACACACACACACACACACTTTCAACAAATAACCAGAGATCAGCTCACAAACAATGAGAACCTTCTTCATGTCAGAAGTGAGGTTTTGGCAGACTCTTAATTTACAGGTACCATCAATCTCCCTACACATTTTCAATGTAGTTTCTAAAATTTATAATATAATAAAAAAGAAAAGTCTCAGAGCTAAGACAAAATGACAGTCGATTAGCACAAACTCATCCATGTATGTTCTATTTTATGGGTTAAAGCAGTCAGTTTAAAAGAAGCCACTAAGTTGTTTCAAAAAGTATCTAAAATTACTCATCTAAAACAATAACGTTTTTCTCCGCGCCCCCCCCCCTCCCCCCCAAGAAAAAATTGTCTGGAAAGGTCTCTGACCAAACGTGCCAACTCTTTTTGGGTTCCTACACCAGATTTAGTTCTCAAATTATTTTCATTATCATCTTCACAATCTTTTCCCACTCCAGAAACTAATCTTGGTCTCCCTTGGACAGATACTTCATTTCTGCCACATATTTACTGATATTCACATGTAATATTTTTGCACAATTTCTTCTTTGCTTCCATTTTAGAAAGATCTCAGAGCATTTAAATTCTTCACACGTGGGAAAAAAGGGTATCATTTTAAATATATGGGTTACCTTGAAGCCTCTTCTAAGAAAACAAAACCCAATTAAGTCTGCTTCCCCTTCTTCATATCACAGCCAAGATTGTTGGAACCAGGCATTATATTAGTTGCCCAGTATCACTCCTTTCCAAGGTCACAGTGAACTTCTATGGTATAGTAAGCAGTATTGTTCAGAGTATTCCAGATGAGGTTGAATCAGTACCTTTTAAGTGACTATATAATTTCTTTGTTGGAGTTATCCTGCTATTAATACAATCTTACTTATTTTCATTTAACTAAGGCAGTGATGATAACCTAACAAGGCAATTTGATATTTAAAAGTATTCATTTAAAAGTTAGCAGTAATGTTGATCTGTAGGAGCACTGGTGTTCAGAGAAATCTGATCATCAAATCTCCTGAACAGTAAATTTTACAATAATTAACAAAAAAGAACTAAGAGAAATTCAAATATAAGTTACATTTAGGGTGCGTGACTAAGTGGGAAAAGCCCATATACATTATTTTACTCCAGAAAACACTTCCACAAATAGTAGAAAACCCAAACTGAGCATCATAAAATATTTGATTTTCTACAGCAACACACGAACAATTAAATTTCTAACATTAGAAATGTAAAGCATGTTCCTAACCTTAATACATAGGTACCACTGCCACTTTTCAAACTTTGCAGCATGGAAGAAAATAGTAACTAGTAATGTAAGTTGTTTGAATGAACACTAATTTAATGCAACTAATATATGAAGCAGATGCTCTATGCTAGTCTAAACTGAATTACAAAAAGCACACAGACATGCACAACAAACTACTACTGTGAATAATTTAGTTCTCAAAAGGTTAAACATCAGACAAGCTAGAAAATGTAGAACATTACTCAGAGAACTACTCATGAAGAATTCCTCAAAACAACAAGAAGGGGGGGGGGGGGAGGGAGTAAGAGTACAAACTATAGAGAATATATAGTCTAGAAAGTGACATTTGTATTGCTTTTAGGAAAAAAGTTTACAGAATGCCTGAAGCAAAGAGCAGTGTCACATTTTCAAACAAGATTTTCTACAGGGCAAATCTGACAACCACTGAACAAGATAAAAAAAAGGATAAACTAGTCATTTGTGTGTTCTGGGTGCCATTTCCCAATCAATTCATAACTTTTTCCCTACAACTCCTTAAAAAAATAATAATTACATTCTAGGTTTTTGGGGTTGTAATACCGTGTTTCCCCAAAAATAAGACAGTGTCTTATATTAATTTTTGCTTCCAAAGATGCACTAGGTCTTATTTTTCCTGGAGCTTCGGGGCCTTATATTCCGGGGTGGCCTTATTATCTGGGAGGTCTTATTTTCGGGGGATGCCTTATATTACAGCGAGAGGCAAAACTGGAAGTAGGTCTTATTTTCGGGGGATGTCTTACTTTCGGGGAAACAGGGTAGTTATCTTTTTAGAGAGTTCTCTGAAATGAGAGTGTCGTGTTCACCATTTTGTTCTAGGATAGTGAGATTAGTCTAATGTGCATAAACCAGTGTCCTAGCATGTCAGTTTTCAAGATCACAGTACAGGTGACATTGATGGGGTCCACAAAAACCCCTCTGTAGTATATTTCCAATAATTTCAGATTATAATAATGTAATAAACATACAGCATTGTTATTCATGATGGAGAAGGTCCCATTTTCCTCTTTATGAATTCAGTTCCCTCCATGAAACAGTTTGGGTTTTTGGAAGCTTGTAAAATTCTTCTCTTAACATAATATATGTATATTAGGCCCAAGACCCAGCAAAGCACTTATACCTATGCTTATGGCCGGTGCATGTTTGGGGACAGTGAACCAACCATCATCTAACCCCCACATCTGTCATTTTATAACACTATACTTCAGCTATTCAAATCTTGTGTTAAGTAGCTAAACAATAAAATGGACACCCTGAGAATCTTTTCCCTTCATCTTGACAATTCCTTTGCCACAACCAGGTGAACTGATCACAAGTAGTATCAGGAGTGCAAACCTACTCAAGGTAAAAGGTTTTGCTATAATTGATTCTTTGCCAAGGGATGCAATGATGAGACTCATCTCTTTAGAAAACTGAGCTGTTAAAGTAAAAAGGAAAAGCTTATAAAAATGGGAAAATACCGAGTATGGTCAAACAATGACGGACGGACGCACACACAAAAAACAACCCACCATATTCAGTTCTTCAAGGACATTTTTAAAACTTAAGGGGTCCACAAACAGAGTCCAAAGTAGCAATTTAGAAGAAGCTAAGCTAGAGACCAAGATTTAAGAGCAGAGAGAGGGACACTTCAAAAAGATTCTGGCAAATTCAAATAAGTCTTGGGTGAATTTCAATAGAGTTGATTTGGACAAGCTCCCTAAATCACTAGACCGTCACCTAAATGAACGGTGGTAAGTTCAATAATCGCACTGAATCCTGCCAACAGAAGCTGCTTGCCCCACTGAAAGCAGAAGTGAGTTTATAATGATCCCAGCATTCTTCCTTTTAGCTTAAGACACTGTTTGGCAGCTGTGTAAAGCTAGTAACATTTTAAAGTGCTCTATTCTTCCTGCAGGCTGTAAGGAAACCTGACTGGGTTAAAACTTAGCTCACAGCTGATTCCTGTATTAATGCGTTTGTTGTACATGTAAAAGATTCCAATACAAAATATTAGAATGCTAGGAATTACACCATGATAGAGACAAGGGGCCATATTCTTGCTCTCAGTTACCCAGTCTACACACAGAAAAAAAACATAACTGGGTTCCTGAAGATATACATACATCACTGTAACAAAGAAGTCTCCTAAACCATCATCCTAATTCTAGAAGTTAGGCCTTCCATCTTCTGACTATGCTCTTCAAGAAAGAAACCCATTTTTATCTTGTTTTGTAAACTGCCATACATACACTCCTGCCCAATGGTATTATATAAACAATAAGCAGTAAAAATGGAAGTGCAGCGGTCTAAAACTCCTAAAGCCACTGCAAACAACCTAAGAACTAGGTTTATCAGCTGCACAAGATGGAAACGTTTTAAGACTGTGCACAGGCTTAGCAGTTCTCTTTGTCCTAGGCCTTGCACGCAGGCAATCTAAGGGTTTGGGGCTAGACGGATTTCTCTTCAGGAGGTAAGATAGTTAAAATAAGCAAGTCTGCTAAGATTTTCCTCAAATCACTGAACTGTGTTGAAGAAATTCAATTGCCTCTACAGTGGTATTTTTATACTGGATCAGCTTACGCTTTTCAAACATTGTTTTTAAAACCGGTCTTTAATACCAAAATTTACCTTAATGCCTTCTAACACTGGTGCTGTATCTTTCAAGGTCTCTGAATGTAGTGTCAAATCCACACTAGCCAGTTCATGTTCAGTATCCACAGCTATCTGGCTTTTCTTCACATGTACAGCAGCTGCTTCAAGATCCACTGCAGACTCCATCTCTTTCTGAATTTCAAAGCCACATTCAAAAAGACATTCATTAATACAAAACAGCATCATGTTTCTCTGTTTTCAGAATCATCTGCTTAATTAGATACAGGTTCCAAGACACTACAAAAGCAGTATGAACATCTCTGCCAGTTACAAACTGACCAATTTCAATTACAATGTCTAAGCCCATTTCATGAAAATATTAATAAAATTATGCCTTTTAAGATATGGCTTGATTCAACAATAACATTCAGTTTCCATAGACAAGTAAGCCAAACAATGTTATATCAAGTATATTCAAATTTTTTTAATATTAAATATTAGCAAATCCAACTGCAAAGAATATTTTAGGTAGAAAAATCTGGAAACTCTTTAAACAAACAAAAATATCTCCTGTTGCCTCTAAGTAACAGAATCAAACATAGATGGAAATGACATTTTAGGTCATTTAGTCAATCCCCTGAATTGCAGGATTGTTCTCTATATTTCTTTTTCCTCTGCCTCCCATGTTTTAAGATGCCCCACATTTTTCAAATGTGCATTTTGACGTCTTTTTGATTACAGACAAAACCAAGAATAGATGCACTATAAATCCCAAAAGAAACACAATGGAGTCTACAATGGACTAAGTGTTCATGCTACTGAAGCACTTAATTCTCAACAGCTGGAAGTTGCACTTACCCTTGCTGCAACCTGAAGGATTTCTTTGGCTTTCTCAGCAGCTTCAGACATTCTTTCCATCTCTTTTTCTTGATTTTCTTTTCTAATGGCTTCTTCTTCCTGAAGGGTTGCTTCCAGCTTAGCTTTATTATCTACTTTTTCACCCTCAACTTCTGCTGCTTTGACTTGAGCCTCTTTGGCCTAAACAGATTGGAAGGATGACATATGAACAAACTTCTACATTTTGAATTATGTAGCTCAGAGGTCTTAACAGTTCAGTGAACACACTGTCAAACAAATAAAAATTATACTACTAGTGCAGTCCACAGAGAGAATTCTGTTTATTTTGAGAAACCTACAGAGCCTTTCTACTTTGATACTGTTAAAGCTTTTCATTCTCATTGTGCAAGTCATTCCTTTCTCCTGTCCTCTATATGAATCTTTTTCAGGACAAAATTGTAAACAAGTTTTGAAAACCCATTCCTTCAAAACAGACATGTTTGGCAGAGCATATTTTTAGGTTAACTTTTATCCCAGTAACCTCCCACAACATGGTAGACCATACACACGGGAAGATGCAGTCCCTGCACTGAAGAACTTACAATCTAAGTCAAAAGCAACATCAGAAGGGTGAGGAAGAGGGATTACACTCTAAATACACACAATAGGAGTATAAATTAAAGCTAATTTTGACTATTAACTACATTGGTCTGCCCCTCACCCTATCCGTCTGAAATTTTGCCTATTTCTTGTGGTATCATGGAAGAAAGGAGTCTTTTAGAAGGGATTTACAGGAAGGCAGTTCCATGCACAGGGGACAGTGCAGAAGCAACACAAAGATGGTTGTGGGACACACAGATGGTTAAGACTAGCATTGCTAAAACAGTGGGAACCAAGTAGTAAAAGCTATAACTGAATAAATATTTCTGTAATCACATCCTTGAAACAGCACCTACAAGTCTGTTAAAAATAAATATGTAGTCTTTAAATAAATACTATATCAGTCTTTACCAGTTGACTTAAAACCTTGAATAACTTAATTTTATAAAAATTAACCTATCAATCAGGGAAAACAGGTAGATGAATGTGAATCTGTACAAGAACTATGCAGTGTTTAGGTAATTGTGTTTGGAAAGATATGTAATAGGTTCTGTGTGGCTGCCTTAATGATGTAATGGTCAACTGACAGAATGATAGCTACCACTGTAAGCATACCCTGGAAATGAAATGGCTTTAATATTACAGGCAGTCCTCGGACTTATGACATCTGGTTCCTGAAAATTGCGTCGTACGTCGAAATGTTGTAACTTGGAACCGCAATCATCTCCATTGCAGGACCAAGTGTCGTAAAGTCAAAACCAATAGTCGTAAGTCAAATCAGGGTGTCAATTCAGAAATGTCTTAAGGCGAACGTCGTAAAGTCGAGGACTGCCTGTACTTTCAAATGAGAACTCTTCTACTGAAAGAGACAGGATGAGACAGATATGGCTTCCAATATCTGTGACCCCTGGCAACTGAATTCAAAATTGTGACTGGAGCAGCTACTATAGTGGAGACAGGGACACTGTAGGACAGCTGATGAAGGACTGTTAAGGTTTAAACAGGTCTACACTAGCACTATAGTGACAAAGTAGGCTGACTCTGGCCGTATGTCATTTGGGGAGGTGATGTTATTGTGTCAATGTAATGGGGTGCCTATGGCAGTGGGAGACAAATTCAGGTGTGGATACATGCAAAACTAAATTCATAAGACTCTGGTCAACATAACTTGGTAGTGTAGATCAGACTGTAGTAAATATCTATTTCAAAGCCTGGGGACTTTTAAGGTCTTGTTTATGGAACAAACTGTCACCATGGAGGAGTACAGAGCAAGAGAAAATATTGACAAGATAATTAAAATAAAACCAAAGACAACTTTCAGGGATTTGGGATAAGATTACTTTATTATCCAAATCTGGTGAAGATTAAAACTTTGTTTCAAGAAATCTGTGAGAAAAAGTTACTCCCAAGATACTTGTCAGAAAGCTTAATTATAACTGAGCCAAGTAATGATGATTCCAAAGAGGAATTAGTGTGTTTTGAGAATCATGCTGATCTCCCATGACTAATTTTGAATGCAAGATTTCAGATACAGCATGCTCTTAAAATGCTTCACTAATGAAGAGTTGGCCAGACTCCCTCCCTCTCTACAAAGCAGTAGAACAGTCAAATTTTAGTTTCTCCTGCTTACTCCAAGACTTTGGACATCAGAGATATTTCAGGTAGGCTCACCCAATATGTTGTTCTTAATGGAAGAAGAAAAAGGAGACAGCCAGGCTGCCTCTTATTTATTTTCAACTGGAGACCAGCAGAGAAACTTGAATTTGCAGACAGAGAAATTTATACTTTGCCCAACTGTGTGTTGCACAGCAGCTTGCAGGAGTCAGAGGGTCACAATCTGCATAACTCAGACTGCAGCCACCCTCACTGTAACCATCTTTAACATAGCAGTGGAGCCTGCAAAGACTACATACCTTAAGATCTTTATCTTGCTCACTATGGTCTTTATCTCATACTGAGACGTAGTACTGCAAGCTTAGACCTATGGTTTTTTGCCTGCCACGTCTGTGGATTAAAGATGAATGTGCAGCAGGACACATTTGACTTGAGGGTCATTTTTTTGGTCAGAACCTTCAGTACATGCCACCTTTTTCTTTGTGCTTTCAAGGTGCCTCAGAGCCTCCTGTTAAGGACAGTTAGGCTTTCCCCAGCACTATGCATAATAAGTCTTCCAACTGCTGCCTAGTCACTCCGACCTGCAGTAGTGCATACAAAATTTTCAAATGCTGTAGCTGTTTTTGATCAGCCAGTCATCCAGCTAAGCAAACTAATACATTGTTCATCTAAGTACATCACAGTGGCTACACTTTTTACACAGGGCCAATACAAAGCTAACACTTAACACTAATAATATGATTAGTACTTATATATATATATACACATACACACACACACACACACACACACACACATACACATACATACATACACACACATACACACACAGAATGCCAGTTTTCAGAGAAACTAGTTTTTGTTGAAAGATAGTGTACTGGTTATATAAAGTAATACATACCACACTCTCTGGTAGGGTCTGGAGTGTTGTTTTGAGCTGATCAGCTGGTGAAAGTGTATCCGGAAGATACATAGCTCTGGATAAAATAAGCAATGAAGTGGGGATTTGTTGGTCCAGGTGCAGCTCTAGCCACTGTAATTCAATAGATATACCTATATAGTTATATTTTAATCACACAGAAAAATAGGAATTCCACAGCAAATTGAAAGTTACCACTTATTTTCTAGATACAGTATTACACTTTTGTGTGTGTGTATTAATTATATTTTAATTTACCAGTTACTAATGTATTCCAAATAGAATGGAGATCTTTAGATGAAAGCCGCTAAGTACAATAAATGCCAGAGCTGCATTCTCTTAAACAAAAGGTATGCATGGGATCAAAAAGCGACAAGAGGTGGATCAAGGTGTACATCAACTTTAGAACTATTTGTCTTAGACCCAAGTCACAATTTATGAAAGCTCTATAATTTGAGTCTGATTAATGTATATAAACTTTATACCTCAGAAAATAGTAACAGGTTCAGTAAAGGCCAATACCCATATTGTTCATTTATATAATATGCCTGCACAGAGCAGTATTACTATTTTATGATTAAACAAGTAGTGAAGCGATCTTACTGGACATGTACCTGTTTGAGTTGTTCCTTTAGTCGTTCTTCTGTTACGCCAAGAGCTCTCATACCTCTTGCTCTACATGCTGCCTGCAGTTCTTTAACAGTCAGACTGTCAACTCCTTCCTCCGCAATCAGCTAGACAAGATGTAAAATAAACCCCTCACATGTAATGAACATGTAAAAAAGTGTTAACAGGAAAACAATAAGCACATAGATGTTTAGAATGATCACTGGGGGCTGCTGTGATGATAAAAAAGAGAATCGCAATGTTTGGAACAAGAGATAGACATTTATGTTGCACATTTCAAGCAGAATTAAATTGTTTTAAAAGTTCCAGAACTGCACTGGGTTTTGGGGTTTTCTTGGTAAATATTTTAAATCATTTCTATGACATGAAGTTTACACTTACAAAAATATTTTCCCTTTCATTCTATATTCCTATTGTCATAAATGGTAGTTACAAGCACAGATCAACGGGGGGGACATACATAAATCAAAAGATTAAAATGGTATTGTGAATGTAAAGGAAATAACCTAGTGTTAATTTACATATAGCTGAACTTTCCAAATGGGTAGTCCTATCAAATCCATGCTTACCTCCATGGATCCCTATTGGACAGATATTAAGAACTGGAGAGGTGGGTTAATGAGCTGTAGTTATAGGAGAGGATTCAGAACTGTACTGCCTGTATTGGTGAATTTAGTAATCAGAAAACTGTAGTATTTTTCACAGCCTAATATTTATCTGTATCTAGAAGTCCTTCATAAAAAACAGGACTTAACTTCCATAATTGAAAAGTAAGTTTTCCTTCAAACACGAGTGGCTTTTCAGAACAAATCAAAGCTACTGGATTTTGGCACTTACGAAAAGTGTTCAATTAACAACATTGTTTGTGCAGGCATACACTATGCAAGCGTCTCCAAAACAGTTTTGTCAATGTAATCAGACCTAATATATTCATAATTAACATAAAACATTTCAGTTCTAGCTAACCCCCCTGAACAGAGAGATTGCCAGTCATGGTAAAGTGTGTAGTGAGGAAGATGAGCGCAAATGGCTAGCAAAAGACAACAAAATAATCAAATCCATCTTTCTATGACCATACCAAATTTGAAATCGACTCTCAATAAATGTAAGGTTAGTGTACTAACCAAATGTTTCTAGCCCCAATGCTATACTTTTTTGCCTTATTTTTAAAGAGCCAGCAGTTCTTTCCTAATTGAGGAAGCTCACCTAATTTTAAGGCTTCAGTCTTTTTGCTGAAGTATACAACTAGTATTAATAAAACTTTGAGACAAAAATAAGTAGATGCCTAGAAACAAAACATTTGTATATTTCAGCTACAGTTGATAAGATTAGATTTTTAATCCGTAAATGTTGGTAAACGTCGATTTCACCATACACACAAACCAATATTTCCATCAATAATAATTTTTAAAATGTACAGCTAGGCAAAGTAAGAAATATACTGCTTAAAACTTATTAAAGTTTGATTAAGGATATTTACTATGTATGTTTTGACATGATGTTGACATTTTATGTTAACGATTATAAAGTTATTACTTTTTGAATCTCAACATCTGTCATTAAATAATGACTGTCTTCCTCCGCTATAATTTCCCATAACTGTGAAATTTTAGATCTACAAAAAATTAAAAAATGCTTTAAAATAAAATTTATAATATCCATCAAAAATATTAATATAAAAATCAAATTCTGCCAAGCTTAATTATAGCATTGGAACAGATAAGCGTTTTTTTTGTTTGTTTGTTTTTAAAATCAAAGCATGACTAAAATTACTTACTTTGTCATCTGCTTTCATGGACCTCAACCTCATGGTCAGCTGGAAACGCAGAAAGTTATTTGTCCCGATTGACTGAAGTTCCAACAGTTTACAGAGAGCCACCAGCTGAGGCCTAGTAAGATTGTCCAGTGTAAGCTCATCTTCAAACAGTTTAGAGAACCGTAAGATCTCCTCATTACTAGGTCTTTCACCAGTCTCTCGGATCTAAGAAAATCAAAAAAATTATCTCAAAGCAAGTTTAATGGATAAATATCGCTTTTAACAATAAGTACTGTACAGTTCTTAACTAAAAAAATTTTGTTCCAATTCCAATTAGTCATAATGTTTTCACATTAGTGTAATTAGTGTGTATTCAGACACAGGGTCTTCTGTCTTTCACAGCAAATAAAAGGTTGTCAACAGAACAGTCTGCATTGTGTAATCTGAACCCCGTTTCCCCCCCCCCGACCATCATCCACACCCCAGCCCCCTGACCACCACCCCGAACTCCCCTGCCTTCTCTCCAACCCCCACTGCTCCCTGCCCCCTTACCGTGCTGCCTAGAGCACCGGTGGCTGGCAGGGCTACAGCCGCCGCTGCCCGGCTGCAGCCAGGCCACGCTGCTGCCGCCACTACACAGCACAGAGACTGGGTCAGGTCAGGCTCTGCAGCTGCGCTGCCCCAGGAGCTCACAGCCCTGCTGCCCAGAGCATTGTGCCAGCGGTGGAGCGAGTGAGCGGAGGCTGCAGGGTAGGGAGGACAGCAGGGGAGGGGCCGGGGGCTAGCCTCCCAGGCCAGGAGCTCGGGGGCCAGGCAGGATGGTCCTGCAGGCTGGATGTGGCCCGCAGGTCGTAGTTTGCCTACCCCGACTTAAAGTACTGGGAATCCTACTCTGCCTGACAACTATTATTTGAGCTAGCATCTCATGTATACTCAGACACCTAAACAAAACCTGCACTATGAAGTTTTGTCACTGGATTATCCAGCTGGAAATCTGGGAATTTGTTCATCCTCTGAGAGGCTGATAGTTTTCCAGTCATCCGATGAACTTTTATTAACCAGAGAATACAGAAATTTGAGAGCTAAGAAAGGCTATGACTGCATCAACCTCAAAAGTGACCCTACGTTGAAGAGGCTACAAGTTGGAGAGAGGGAGGTAAAACGAGAAGATGCATTTTACAATTTAAGAGTGCCCTTCTGCTCTGCTACATTAACTTTAACAGAAATTAGGAACACTGATCCAGTACAGTAGCCTGCAACAGGGAGCTTTATAACAGAAGTATTTTCTCTTATGTTTTAGTTTGAATTTCACCAGTTTTTATGATCATCATCTCTGTCACAGGCAAAGAAAAAAACTATAGCCTGTTGTTTCCAAAATCTGTTGAGGGTGCAGAAGTAGCTTTCCCAGTTCACAAATGCATTAAAAGATTTAGGAACTCCCAAACCCCACATCATGTAGGGCTTTTTAATTAGTGGCTTCGAGAAAGGTAAGTATACCACTAACGAAGCACCTAAAATATTT